CACCGAGGGGAGTTGCATTCCTCCGCACGACTTGGCCGCAAGGAGGCTCATGCGTTCCACAGTAGAACGCACACCCATTCCAGCCAGAACGAGGTTATGGAATGCCGCATCCACTGCGCGCAGATCGGACGGCTGCGGAAGGCCAACTAAGGGAACGTAACCGACAACGCCCCGCATGATCCATTGGAAGAATGCAACACGTTCGTCCCACGAAGCACGGAGAGCAGAGAGGCGTTGTAGCGCGCGACGAAGCTTCTGCACAAGCTCCTCAGCTGCCAACAAATGCTTGTCAGAGAAGACACCGGGCTTGCCCAGGAGAGTTTCCGAGGCGTCGGGCAGGGTGCGTCGAAGCACAGACGTTACATGCCCGCCCTTCCAGATGTCAAAGTAGGTAACGCGAACACCATCCTCAGTGAGGCCGGACTCAGGGGGGAGAAGAGACCAAGAAGCATCCCAGTCAGTAGCAAAGGCGGAGAATTTGTCCCAAGCAAAGCCAATACCAGTGTGAATGCTGCCAAGACCAAGCTCGGCGACGATGTCAGGTATATCCGCGACGCCGCGGCCATAGTGCTCAGCATCATCTGAGTACCCGGCCGTGGCCACGCGACGACCGCGGGATGTGACATAAGCAGCAGAGCTACTCTCCCTGAGGCGAAGGATGGGATCCTGAGCGGGACGGGACAACTCGGGGCTGGACACTGGACACCGCGCCTTGCATGATTCCTCGCTGCACCTGAACATCAGGAGTCAGACCGAAGCGGGTTTCAAGCTGAAGCACGTGCCCTTGGAACGCCGAGGCGTAGAAGCGGCGAACGCTGTCCGGAACACCGCGAGCTTGGAGGACGGCGTCAAGTTGCGGGATCAGTAGGGTGTTAAAAAACTTCTCATAATCAGAAGGGATACGGCACAGGGGGCGTGCGTGGCGAGCTGCGTCTTCGCAAACAAGCGTGTCCACGTGGAGGACCTCGGCCGCCGCGTTTACCCTGGGTGCGTACGCTTGGTTGGTAGAGGAATACAGCTGCATCGCCTCTATCCTGCGACGCTCAACCAGACGCTTGGTGACCGGCCCCTCAAGCGCCTTGAAGCCCTCCTCCAGCATGGACAGGGCTCGAAACCCGCCAGACGGTTTGGGCATGTGGACCTGGATGGCACGCCGAAGAGACGGCGCGACGCAAGCGGCAAGGCGTTGCACATCAAGCAGGCGCCAGAATAGCATCTGGGCGCGGGGCGGGAAAAGAGAGAGGAAGAGGAGCTTGAAGCCGGAAGGTCCTGGGCGAGAGCGACGCATGCGCCGAATAAGTGTGGAGCGCTCCGCCTCAGCGAGAGGGAGAACCAACTCAAAGTCGGGCGGCTCTAGCCGTCGGAGCAGCAAATCCCCCTGCGGCTGGAGGAGCCACCAATCAGGCGGGCAAGCGGCCGGGGGCCGCCCAGACACGCGGATAACAATCCAAGCTTGCGTTGACACTGAAGCGGGCCGCCGGGCCGAAACCCCCAGCTGATGACCCAGCCGCCCACCGAAAGACGAAACTCATCCCAGACGCAAAGCTGCTCTCGCGACCAGCGCACCTGAACCCAAGGGCCAGGGTGCAGGTAGGCTGCGCCAAGGCGACCACTCAAAATGACACCGGCGCCATCCATCCACGAGTCAACGTAAGGACTAGACCATGGGGAGGACGGCTCATGAAACAGGCGTGTCCACTCCTGGACGGCTCCAACTAACACTTCCGCTTGGTCCCGGCGCCTTGCCACCGCGCCATCGGGAAGCGTGACGGTCGAGGGAACATAGCCAAGGTGAGGTGGACGAGCAGGTCGCATGAGCCGAGACCAACGCCTGATGTCCCCAGAGCGCAAGGTGCACAACCGAGCGCTTAGACTATCTTGCCGCTTCAGGCGGGGGAGCGGGAAGCCAAGCCTGGAGATCCCGCCAGCCCACGTTCGCCAGCCATGCTGGAGGGTTGGACGAGAACTCGTCCCAAGCCACAGGCGGTAGGGTAGGCGGGGAGCGGGCGCGGCCCTCGACTTTACAAGCCTTGGTCCAGTATGGTTGCACTTCTTCAAGCGCAAGTTGCGGATCGGCAGGAGGGGCATCCAGCAACAAACGGCGGAGAGGCCGTAACTGGTGAACGCACTCTTCCCAAGCCCGGGCGGCCGATACACGGGCACGAGATACTGGCGGAGGTATAGCGGGGAGGCATTGGACAAGGACAGATTGGAGCGAGTCGAAGGCCCGCCCAATGCGAGAGGACAGCACCTCAGAGCGCAGATCCGCAGATGCACCCTGACCGGTACCATCCAATCCCTCACACGAGGAGAAGAACAGATGAGAGGGTTGGGACAGGCTAAACAGGAGGAAGCTATCCTCTTCAAGGTGTTGGAGCAACGGAGCATGCGCGGCAAGGGAACTCGCCACGGTGTGTCGTAACGACTCCAGTTGGGGCACAGGGCCGGACTCAATGGTCTCTGCCAAAAAACGGCCGGCAGGGGAATCATCTTCCACCAATGGGAGCGCGGCAAGAAAGTCGGCAAGCACGGGCTCATGATCAACACGGCGACGCCAGCCAACAAGAACCGCAGAGTTGAGCAGCAGGAGAGGTTCAGCCCCACGTGGGCTGAAGGACCAAATGCCATCCAGGCGGCTTGCAGAGCCAGAGTGGGCAAAAAAGGTGTACCCGGAGGCCTGTGGGCAGCGAGGGACGACGGACGGAGAACGTGCGACCCATGCCAAACATCAAGATCCAGCGAGGCGACGGAGTTGAAGTCACCCATGCAAATGCACGGGATACTAAGCCCGTCCGCCAGGCGGAGTTGCTCCCGAACAAACTGGACCAGTGAAGCCTCTTCGGCCAGCTTAGACGGATCACTATCGAACCCGGGAAGACTGGCTCCAGTCACCGCGTACACGCCCACGATACGAACAGGACAGCCGCCTGAAAGATGTATAGCGCCGGCCATGCCACGGCCACCCGGAGCACGCGCAACATCACACCAGCCAAAGATGACACCGCGCCGAACTGCCAGAACAACCAGAGCGAGCAGCAGGCGGCGCTCCCAAGGGGCCATGACACACAGCAGTGTAACCGGCGGAGGCAAATCCATCAATGAGAGAAGGGGCAGAGTCGGAGGAGGTGAAGCCAATCTCAGAGACGCATCCTATGTCCGCTCCCAGGTGAGAGAGGGACTGGCCGGGCGTTGGTACCTACGCCGCCTGCCTGCACAGAGGCGAATCGGAGGACGCGACTCCCCCTCCAACACATATCATCCCCTGCGCAGGACGCCTGAAAGGAAGGGAGAGACAGACGGCTGCCAACATCCAGGTCGACACGCGCATTCCCTGGCGCCTCCTCCGACTCAGACGAATCCGCAAGGCCGCACGGGGGCCGTAAGGCCGCGCAGGGCCGAGCGTGGACAGGACAGAGTTGAGGGGCCGGGAAGGCCGCGCAGGGGCCAAACAGAGAGCGCAAAGCAGCAGTGCCAGAGCGTAGGCACAGCCGAGGGAGACCACACAGCCAAACAGGACCAGTTCCAGGGGCAGAGCAGAGCTGGCAAAACAAAGACGAAACAAAGCAACACGACGAAAAGAACAAACACACAGGGCACAAACAGACAAAGGTAAATGCGTAAGTGTACCAACGTGAGGGTTAAAAGTGAGTGTTGTCAGTGGTCGGTGCAGGATCCTGACTCTGACTGAGAACCGAGATGGCGTGGGCGGCAGAAGCATACATGTAGCAAAGAACCTGAAACCGAATGGCCCTGATTGACGCAAGGAGGCCTCAACCAACATGAGCAAGCATCCAGCTCGTTATTTTTTCCTTTCCGACAGCAAGCTGTAAAAATGGAAAAACAGGAGGCGAGCCTAGGCACGTTCTGGATCTCGAAGTCGGTGCTCGCGTGGCTCCTGCCGGGCGCCCCGGCGTTCTTGGACCACAGCGCAGTCGTCGTGTCTGCGAACTCGATTTCTATCACCAGGTTCATGGTGCAGCTGGTTCATGGGCCCAGAGGCACGAAGCTGTTGTAGCCTCTCTGCGGTCGGTTCTGGTTCACCCGGAGGCCGTCCAGAAACGCCTTCACTTCCTCTCTGAAGATGCTGAGGTTGCGCACCTGAGCCTGCCGCAGCGTCTGCGCCAGCCTGCTGGGATCCTTTGGACGGCCTTGATGAGGCTTGGCGAGAGACGGAAATTAGGAGGCGACCAATGGGCGTGTCTAGGTGGTCCTCTAAGTTCGAGGGTTGGCCATGTCGGAGTGAAAGAAGAACACCCCACTCTCATCCGGAAGCTGGAAGGCCGCCAAGGTGGGGCTGGCGGACAAGAAGGCACCTCGTAGACTGCCAATGGCTGTCATAGACACCGCAGCCGGGACCGGCGAGACCAGAACACCAGGAGGAAGCTGGCGGAGGAGCGGGGAGGGCGGGCTGGGGTGCTCCTGCCGCTCACGGCGCCGCTCACGGCGGCGGGCGCCTTTGCTGGCCGCTGGAGCTGCAGCAGCAACCGGGCGGGCGGGCGCCTGAGGGGGTGTGCGGGCAGGCCGACTGGAAGCACGCGGGAGGGATGGGCGGGAAGCCGTGCGGCAGGCAGTGGCAGAGCCAGCCGCGCTGCAGGTGGAGGCCGTGTGGGGCTCGGGGGGCGGGGGGCTCGAGCTCGTACTTCGGCCGGGGGCGTGGCAGTACCGGATGGCTGATCCGCCAGGGCACTCACAGGGCTGCGGCTGCGATGGTGAAGCGGAGCCTTCCGAGTAGTGCCGCACAGCGCTTTCCGCCAGCGCCAAGGCGACATGCAAGGCACGAGACTGAAAGGAGTCCATTGAGCCCAATGAGAACTAGAACAGAGACGTTTGATGCACTGAAGAGGGTGTTGGTGGTGTTGGTGTTGTTGGTGGCGTTGGTGGTGTTGGTGGTGTTGCTGGTGTTGGTGGTGTTGCTGGTGTTGTTGGTTTTGCTGGTGTTGGTGGTGTTGGTGTTGTTGGTGTTGTTGGTGTTGTTGGTGTTGTTGGTGTTGGTGGCCAAGGTGTAGCCGTGACGCTTGGCCGCCGCTTCGTTTCAGGAGCTTGCCTGGAAATATGTTTTCATCACGGCGTGTCATTTGACATGTGTCCAGGCAAATATGAATATTGTTGCCTGGAAGCACTACGCTTGTAGCAACATGACAGTACAAGATGCAAACCGAATGGTCTTTCTTCCCTTTGCGCCATTGCCTGGATCAAGCATGGCATGTGCTAGGTTACGATAGTTTGGCACCTTGCATACTCCACTTCAGCAAATGTAGCAACGGAAGTTCAAGTCCCAAATCAAGCCAATGCGACGATCTGCGAGTGTGCAGCGCAGGATTGTCCTCTTCGCACAAAGCTGCACCCACAGAGACTTCAGCTGCGTTTACCAATCAGTAGCATGCGTTTGGCAATCAGCAGCATGCAAGTTTGGTCCCGGCACTTGGAGGATTGCCTGCATGACTACTAAGGTGAAATCTCTATGCATGCTTGACAATTAGTACATAGTAGACACATACACACATACACACATAGACACATACACACATAGACACATACACACATACACACACACACACATGCATGCATATACGCACATACACACATAAACACACATAAACACACATAAACACACATACACACTTACACACATACACACATACACACATACACACATACACACATAGACACATACACACATACACACGACACACATACACACACACACATGCATGCACACATGCATACATACATACACACATAGACACATACACACATAGACACATAGACACATACACACATACACACATAGACACATACACACATAGACACATAGACACATAGACACACACACGCGTAAACACACATACACACTTACACACTTACACACATACACACATACACACATACACACATACACACATAGACACATACACACATACACCACATACACACATACACACACATACACACATGCATGCATATACACACGCATAGACACATACACACATAGACACATACACACATACACACATACAGACATACAGACATACACACATACATACTGGTACACACATACATACATACCGTATGTGTACTATATATAACATGTATCCAGTTAAACGAAACATAGGTTTCAAGCGACACGGTGCCACTTCTGAGGAGCGCCAGGTGCTGGAAGCTCTGCAGCAACGTTTGCGCGTCGCCAAGCCAAAGTCGGACGCGCTGAGGCCTGGGAGGGTTCGCCCTGTCCTGCCAGGTTTCAGCGGGCAGATTGGATTGAACCTCACACCTGGTCCCTGGCCCTTTTGCAGGCAAAATAAAAGGAGGCTGGTCACACAGCGTATGGCGTGTGTGCGAGTGTGTGTGTGGTCATTTCGGTCATGTCAAAGCAGATGGCATGTCCGAACATGGCATTCAATGCTCGTGGCCGTCCACGCCAGTTGCTGACAGTCAGAGGTCATCCCTGTTTGCAAGGTAGATTTTGTGGCGAATGCGGCGCAATGCCATACCACAGAAATGGTTTAGAGCTTTGATGGCACGTAAGCGAGCGGTAGAGCGTCCTGTGTTATATAATGCACATGCGGCACGAAGGCTGAACATGCAGCAGGGCGTCAGCAGTTCTCTATTCCGTGATCAACGCTGGTTTTCCAACACATGATGCTTGTCGAATCATGATCGATTGGTGTGGAAAGTGCTGCTTGGCTGTTTGCAGGAGAGCAGTGCGATCCTGCGTGGGCAAGTCCAGCTTGGCATTGATGCTCTCAGAGGCGATGGGACCTGTGAATTGAAAAGCACTGAAGCGTGAAGACCTTGGGATGGCATGTTGCCCCGTGCTTATGCACAAGTGAGTTGTTTGGTAAAGACTTCTTGACTACGTGTTGATTATGTATGGAAAGGGCCAGAGTTTGTTTGCCTCACCTGCCGATGAGAGAAAGGTTTGGACTGTAAAGGATTTTCATGTCCTTGTCTACTATATATTTGATGCATCCCACGGAAAGATTTAGGATAGAGCTGCCCACGCTTGCATCTTATGGCACTCCTTTCCACGGAATAGATGCGTGCAAAGAGCAGATGGGTTGGCAGATACCGCGTTTTGCCAAAATGATGAATTTCAGAAATGGAGACAAACTTGCCACAGCGATCCTATATATTGATAGGCGTTTGACCGCTCCAGTGAAACCTGTCAACGCTAAACTGCAATTCATCTACCAGCAGCGAGCCAAGCTTGTCGTAAGTGGGTCCGAGCTTGACGGGCAATATTCCGCTGAATTATTGCGTTTGGATCGAGGGGACGCCTACAAATCGGCGGTGTCCTTTCAGGTTGTTTTGCCAGTCCCCAATCTGACGAACCGCACATTCAATGAGCTCAGTGACTTGACATTGCTTCTTGCAGTCATCAGCTTGGCGGTCGGGCTCACAGGCAGATGGTTTCGACCTCTTCCAGGGCGCTTGCTCTGGTAAGTGGATGCCGGATCACTTGCTGCTCTTGGCAGGGGCCCCAGGAGCGATCATCATTCCCCGACTTGGGCAAACCGTTTGCGATCTTTCGCCCTTTGCTTCTTTCGTGCCTGTACCTTGTTTTTCCACAAAGCAAAAATCGGCGTGGGGCCATACACGAAATGGAGGTCTCCAATGCTTCCCCGCTGGCAAATTAGGTCTGTCCTCCTCCCATGGCCTCCGCGGCTGCAGCAGCGTGCAGAGAGGAGTCTGTGCCACTGGCGCGCCCGGAAGGGGGTCCGTTGGGGGAGATGGCGGCGGAATATGAAAGGCCCTTGTTGTGTTCTTTTGGGCCCAGGGTTGTGCATTCACTTGTGTGGGTTTTGACTGCATTGGTAACGGTGCTGGTTTGGTTTGTCGGAGCTCCTGTAACTTAACCGCCGCGGGCGCAAGCAAAATGAGGGGGCAGTGTTGCTCGCAAACACTGCACACATGATTCGTTTGCCATGCTATGGCCTGAAGGCAGATATTCAACTTCCGCGCGAAAACTCATTCGAAATGTTGGTGTCAGATTGCAGGAGTGCTGTGGTGGTTTTGCCAGGCTTGTTTTGCCATGCATGCTGTTCGCCCCGACTATTCGTAATGCGAAGCCGCGCCCCCTTCCGCCCAGGCACCGGTGGCAATGGCACGAAACTCTGCACCCAGCGCCGTAGTCCTTTTGCAGCGCCCTGGTTGCGCAGAGTGGCCAGAGCCGAGTCAAAAGATTATTGATCATGATGGCGTGAAGAACTGCTAAGGCGACTCACCTTTGGACATAGCAATACTGAGCAGGGTCACTAGGAAGCACACGAAACCTGCTCCATGATGAAGTCCCTTGTCAGCATGGACCTTATCTTTGGAACCTGGGGTGAGAAAATAGAACGTGATGGAGAGTGATATCCGTTGTTGCTCGAGATTTGAACCACTTTCGTTGCGTTATCTTATTTGAGGCCATTTGCTGCCCCACATGGAAGGTTTGCGTCGCCTCATCTTGTCCTGGAAAAGGAAGGGCAACAGGTATTCTAGTTGACAGTCACCTGGCTTTGGAAATGAGGTGATGATGCTAGGATCCAAAAAAAAACCTCCGTTGTGGGCCCCCCCCAGACGACGGCAATCTAAGGGCAAGTAGCTAGCGACAAAAGAAAGAACAAGTCAAAGAGACAAAGAATGCAAGAACACACGCATTAGCCAAATCATGCTTAGTATTTGCTCATGATTGCCTTGTAGCCTCCGCGCTAGTCGATCGCTACTAGTCGATCGCTACAAGATGGTCCTGTGCACATCCATGGCAGTTGAAGAAAAGAGGGGGCGCCTTGCTGGTCGCAAAATTCTCCCCCACAGGCGCCGGGGGGGGGGGGGGCCTTGAGGTTCATGCACTACTGCGGCTCCCTGGCGCCGCGCTTGCGGCACCTGAGACGCACACGATTGGATGCAGAGAGCCCAAGAATGCTGGCCAAAAGTGAAGTATTTGAGAAAGCTTCCGCCGAGTCAGACCGCAACCCAACAGTAGTGCAACTAAAAGAGCAGGGACCGTGTTTCAAGCAGCCTGCGAGCCTTCCCAGCTGCTCAATTGAACCACATCAACTGCTATTGAAATGTTTCTTGCATGCGAGACGTTAGAAACCCTGCTTGCCTTACCAACGACCTTCCCGATCTTCCTCAATGTTTCTCACCACGCGGAAAGATTCATGCACGTTTGCAAGCCTGCTCAGTGCGAGCTGCAATGCAAGCCAGGCTGACACAAGAGTGGAGGAAGCCGTTTGCTCCGCCTCGAGCTTAGAAGGCGCCACACTGAGTCGCGGCGAAGTGGACCTTTGTGTTTGTTTTCGCCGAGCCACCTGACAGCCCTGAAACATTGCGCCGGTTGGCTCTGAGCAGAGCCTTGCAAAATCTGTGCGAGGCCCGCGCTCTTGTCGAGCAGCTGGCGCCAACCATGGCCATGGCCCCAATGTGCAAACGCTCACTTGGCCTTGATCGGCGCGTAGCTAAGAAGGAGCCAAGTTGACACAGAATGCTTGCCTCCACAAACCTGTCCCTTCCCCCAACGAGATGGCAGAGGCCTTGCATCTTCTTCTTTGCTATTCCTTCGTGGAACCGAACATTAGAACCTTTTCCCCACATTCGATTTGGAGACAATGTGGCATATGCGCAGTATTTGGATAAAGCTCGCTGCTTCAAGGCCGCCATTGCCAATGTCATGTATCACCGCGACGCGGGCGGCTTAGTTTGCCTACGGCAAACAATGCTTGGCCACTCATCCTCTGGATCTAGATCCAAGCCTCGCCCAGCCCTCGAGCCTATTTGAGCCAAAGTCAAATTTGGGCACGATGTTTCTTTCGGGACGCCTTGAACGCGGGTATTTGAAAATGGGCATAGGGCGTGACTTTCTGGATCAAGCTCACAATATTCTGACCTGGTAAGCAAATGCTTTTGGACGTCTTCTTTGCGTCGCTTGAATTCTTGTGGCATTTGCAACTTGGGGCGGGTGGAAGGCCCCAGAATTTGCTGCCATGACGAGCTGCGATCGATGGCTATTGGTTGCTAAATTCCATTTGTTGTCGTCCGAATCCCTTTGACGTTGCCGGAACCTCTGCGTCTCTGGGTGATGCCGCAACCGCACTCAGGTCAACGCGCACAACATTTTGGCGCACGTTAGGGAGCCCGGCAGAATTCTGATCCAATCCTTGCCTTGCAGTGACTGCGGATGGGTCTCGGAAGCAATATGAGTAGGACTGAGTTCATAAATGCATTCTCGTTGGCGTTGGAAGCATGTTCTTTCATGAAGCACTCCCGTCAAATGCTGCGGTCTTGGTTTTGCGACGCATTTGTGTGCATTCGCACGTTGCGATGCCGATTCGCCGATGACTCAGGTGGCGCCTGGAGGTCAACTCAGCTTTGGCCTCGTAGACTTCGGTCTGGCGGTCGACGCGTTTGGGCCTTGGGCCAGAAGCCCGCCCAAGCACGGCCGGCGTGATCGACCCGCTTGGGCTATCCGTTTGCTGCGGCTTTCCCTTGAACTGCTTGCAGTCACGATCATGAGAATGTCACGCGCGTTCACTTGTCACATTTGACGACGCCATGGAAAAGTAACCGTGCAACAGTAGGCCATATTTTGTTCTAGTCAGCCGGCTGTTTCAAGAGTTTGTTGCCGTTGGTTACTTGTCTGCGAGATGGCCGGCTGCCCAGTCAGCTGGCAGATTTGCGACCAGTCAGGAAGGTAGCCAGGCGCTTCATTTGCTGCCGCTGTTTCGTGAGTCGGCTGCTATCGTGTTGGCTTGACGCCTGCATAGCTCAGCCATGCTGTTGTGATAGTTCAACTGGCCAGCTTGCAAATTGGCTGTGTCGCTAGCAAGGAATGCAAACGCATGGAGCTTGTGATGATTTGCCTAAAGCAGCAGCGGTGTGCTTGATGGTCTGGCTCTGTATGGCCGCAAACTACCACACTGAAAAAATGTGAGTGGTATTGTGTGTGTGGGTGTGATTCTATGAGGCTGCGTTTTGACTAGCGCCGGCCTGGCGCAATTTTCTTTTCTTGCGAAGCTTGCTGCTGCAAGCCCGCTCTTTCACTTAGGTCGACGTGGATGGACCCGTCCCCTCTGAATCCCGGTGGCAAGAGCGAGTGGGAGTTCCTGGACGTCGGCCGTGGGCTTAGCTGATGGTTGATGAAATGACTTGGAACACGTCCAAATCATTTTTCAGCAGGAATCCGTTGACGGCCGTGGAAAGCAACTAAGAGGACGGCTGGTCCTGCTCTGGTTTTCTGCAAAACGTAGTCATTTCAGAACATCCGTTTCTGAACAGGGTCAAACACGAGGTCTGCGATCCTTTTGAATGGGACGATTGCGCGCGAAGCAGGGGCTAAGCACTTTGCGGTGTGAGCATCTGTGATTTATGGTTTCTCACTGTCCGCTCCTCCGACAGGTGGCGATTGCCGGTATTGGCCCGTGTCGGCATGGAGGCAGTTTGAGGCCAATGGTGGGGGGGGTGCTGCATGTTGGGCTGTTCCATTGAGCGGTACCAAGTCAGTGGGCGGCGAAGACAGGACACATGACACTTCATTCATGACGCAAGGATTAGGATTAGGATTCGGTTGCTCGAGGGGCATGTCCGCACCCAATGGCAAAGCCTGGAGGACAGCCTCCCACAAAATGTGTGGCTCGACTTGGTCACAGCGCAATTAGACAGGATGACAGCTCCCAGCTGCAGCAATCTGTTGGGTAATCCAATGTCGCCATTGCAGCAAGTCCTAGCACTGGCGAGCCAGGCTGGATGCAGAGCCCTTGTAGAGGCAAGGGATTGAGGGGCTGCTTCAGAGTTCAGGCATCGATGTTGACGGTTTTGAGCCAGTGCTGCGTTTTCAAATGGAGCCCCCCGCCCCACAACCGGAGGCCGCTGGGAAGTAACACCCAGCCATGTCCGATCCAGCACGCAATGCCAATCACTGAGTTCAGTTGACCAATGTATCAACCACGATTCCCACGGACGGCGTGTTTTTGGCCGTCTAAAATTTGAAAATTACGATCTCTGGCTGAGGGGTTGCCCGCACAGGCAAGTCAATGATCAGCTGAGGTTGGCGCCCCATGTTAGCTGACGTCTCCCCCCAGTACTGAACATCTTTTTCGAAGGGCATGTCGCGCAACTGTCCTGTGGCCAGGAAGAGCCCCTTTGCACTGAGTACCAGACGCATCTGGATCTACAGGCCACACAGAGTTTCATTGTTTTATGGCTCCCGTAATCTTGTACTCTTGGCCTGTTATTTATGACCGGCTTACTTGTTTGCCCAATTGTGATTGATGCTTTGCGTGTGCGATTGAGCACTGAGCGCCCTTACTTCCGCAGTCCGTGCATTTCAGATTCCTCTCAGAAGGCGAGTATATTCACGCAGGCGCACACGCGCATGTCATACGTACTGTATGCATGTATTGCCGTGAACTCGCCCGGGGAAGAAAGGAACGCGCCACGATGAAGGCTCCTTGAGTTCATTGTTGCGGGTGGGTCTTACGCGCGCAAAGCGCCCGTTTTCTTGGGTTCTTCTGGGCAAAGTCTTGCTCTCAGCTTGCCAGGGCTTGGGGCTGACAGCTGTGCAGGTGGGTCCGGCTGCCGTGTGTGTTTGCTCTGCTTTTCTGAGAGTAGGAAGACTCGGTGAGGTTCGCAATCCTTTGTCAATTCTTTGTCGATCCTCCTCAACTCACCGCCTTTTCGCGGTGTGACCCAAGAATCCCAAGATATGGAACCTACCTATTGGATGCAGATGATGTCAATGACTATTAGTTGATTAATTTTGGAATGGTGGTCCACAGCTCTATGACTTTCTAATCCTACTCGCCCAACTGACAGATGCTCAACTGGGGAAGGCTCTCGCCAAAATTCAAGGTTGTGTTGGGAAAGGATGAGTCTTCAAGTCAGCTTGGGAGTGTCAAGCGAATCGACCGCGGAGGCAGCTGCTTTGTTAGAAGGAGCAGCAGTGAAGCATCCTATGAAGATAAACGTATCTAAAGGTGATGTGTAAACGCATGAACTACAGAAAGGAAACAAGCTTGGCATCGTTTGGCTTCTGCTGACGTGGCGGCGTGACATGTCATTGAATACCAAACTTATGATTGAAATTGGTGGAGATAGGTTTTCAGGCCAATCTTGCCGAATCCAGGTCCTGGTTTGCCTACTGCCAAAGCGCCACGCAGAACTTGTGCGCAGCGCAGGAGTGGTGAGTATCGTTTGAGCTGTGAAAGTGGAAATTCAGGGGTCGGCAGGTGTTTTGGAGCTTTGAACAGGCACTTGGGCTATTTGTTTGTTTAAGACCAGGGTGGCCACTCAACATGTCCACATATTTACGCCCCCCAGGTCGCAAATCCCTTCCCCCTGACAATAAACCCGGATTCCCCCCCCCATAATAAATCAGGTCTGCGGGACAAAACATACTTATTAATAGGGAACTTTGGGGTCAGATAAAGATAGGCTGCCCCGGAGACAAAGCACCCAGCCCTTGAAGCGGGCTTAAAATCGAGTTGTTCAAATGAGGTGTAGTACAAACTTTGAAAGGGAAAGACATTTCGCTTTTGATTGGTTTCGGCAATACAGATTAGTGGAGGGCAAGAAAGACAGACAGTTGTTGTTGGCCCTGCACCCTTTGCCCCTGATAAGACTGGGTCTGTTCATCTGGGCGGAGACATCGTACAGTTTAGTATTGGTTTTGAATTGGCCTAACCTAAAAGTAAAGTAGCGTTGGGGACCCGGTACAATTAGAAACTGGTGTGGATCCTAGGAGCCGGATTGTGCAATGGCGGGGGGAGAGCAAGACTTCAAACCAGGCAAGGAGGCCGCTTGGCTAAGTCGCCCAGCGCCCGAAACCCTTGTTGGTCAATTCAAGAGTAGGGGATCAACAAATTCTGTGCTCATTGGTTGAGTTGTCGCGCAGGCCTTCGTCAACTTTGATAAACCGTTGCGACCATGCGTCAAAGGGTCACCTGAGCTCTGCCCAACTGAGTTTGCGGGCGAGTTTTGGAGCGCAGGTTGTTCCGCTCGCCGGGAAGGTACTAGAGCTGCGGCTGCTTCAGGAGTGTTTGTTTGCGGGGAGGGCCGAAGCCATGGAAGGCAAGTCACTATCATGGAACAGAGGGCTTGTTCCAGCCTGGTACATGCAATTGCAAGGAATTTGCGTGAGTTGTCATCGTCATGCCTACCCAACAGGGAGGAAGCTCAAGTTCTGCATTTGTCTTTCAGTTTTCATGAGGATGTCGGACGGAAGGTGGGGCGAAGCATCCGCTGAGTTGCGCTTCGGCTTGGCTTCTGATTCCGAACTCCGTCGGAATAGCCAGCTCTGTAAAGGGAGCAGAAAACAAAGAGAAAACTACCGAAGCAGAGTGAATTGTGCGCCTGTCCCGCAGCCAAAATGACCACATATAATGTGTATAATGTCAAGTGGGTTTCCTGTCGCGTTCTGCGATGGGCTTTGCTTTCCACGTCTAGGAGGCCTGGCAGAAATACTGGGAGGAGGCCTCCTGCTATTGGGCCGCGTGCGGCCAAGAGAGGCAGACGCGAGCAGCGAACGGAGACAGACAACGACCCTGTTGCAACTATTTCGGACAATTGGCAGTTTGCATTGATGCCCTCTAGACTTATCAGGCTTGCCAAAAAAAGCACTGATTCTTTGAGACACAGGGCGTCAGCTCCAAGGCCTTGCTGGAGACCTTCCGCCATGGGGGCGACTGGGTGGTGCTGAAGCAGGCCAGGGCATGATTTTGGGCGGCTTCTCCAGGTGTCGCATCGCCAAACACTGCTGACAATGCCTCCCAGGAAGGTGCGGGTACTGCGGGCAAGCTTTGCTGAACGACTGGCTTGCTTTTGTGCAAATCCCTTGTGACTTGCAATTGTTCCGAATCAATGTACACCCTGGACGGGTTTGTTTGTGTCAGCCTGCGCGCTAATGATGCGGAACGCGCGGGTGGATTTGCACCGTGGGAGTTGCCATCTCGGAGGCCACCCGGGAAAGAACAACATGGATCCAATCTCCTTTTGGAAGTGGCCCGAGCAGTGTTATATGAACGAACCGCATTCGTCCAGACCTCTTCGGTCCTCTCCCGTGCTCTTCCTGTCTGGCCAGTAAGACTGGAATAGGCAAACAAAAGGAAATTGAGTCAGTAGTGCTGTAGTGCCAGGATTAATCAGGGCAATATTGGGCGAATCTGCCCTTTGTGAGCATGTAAAACCTTGACTCTTTGTACTTTCGAAATGGCACAACCATTGACCTAGAGTACTAGCAATTTCATGCACCGTCGCACCTGTGACAACCTTGCGTTGGGCCAATTGGAGTGCCTTCCTTGAACGACCCGGGGCTAGCGGGAAACTGCATAGCTCCTTGAAGCGGAGCCGGCCGAGGAGTTTGTGGCCCGCGGGGTGCACAAGATCATTGCGAGCAGGCCGGCGGGCGGTCGGAGCTTCGGAACTTCGGAACTTAGGGAGGGACTCCACGATGGTAAAATCAAGATCGAAGCCGGGGGCGCGCAGGCACACGAAGCAATGAGTCTCTGAAAGCACGCAGAAATGTTCGCGCGAAGCCTGCCTTTGTTTGCTCAGCTTCGATCAAGTAAAGGCTTCTGCAGGAGGCGTTGCAAATTGGCTGGACCAGCTGGAGGGCGTCCGGCGGTTGCACTTTCATGCGCAGCAGTGGCTTGCCTTTTTTGAAGCACGACTAGGAGTTCAAGTGAACTCGCGACAGGTGGCAAGCTCGTGCGGCATAATTTCTCTGATTCTAGCCTCGTGGCATTGTAGGCAACCTTCCAAAGCATTGGCCCCAGCAATCGTCCATGGAATGGTCAGCTGACTACGGCTAGATTGTGTGTTCATGTGTGTCCTTCCGAAAAAGATCCAGAAAAGTGCCCATGTCGTGATGGTCATTGGATTGAACAGTTTGTAACATGGCGGGGCATAGCAGCGCAAAATACGCCCACGGCAAGTGCGAGAGGCTGGAGGCATTGCGAGAGACCCTGGGCCAGTGCTTGTGCGCTGCGGCGGCTGCCAACCTCGGGGGAGGCCGAAGCCAGAGAGCCTTGCGGGACGGCCCTGTGTCTATGTCCCCCTTATCATGAAAAAAGGCTATGCCACCCAAGCAAGAATCTAGAAAGTTTTCTGGGAGCTGTTCAAGAAGCACAAGGTTTGTTGACGAATCTTTCAAGAGCGTCGTTGGTCTTCAAGCCTTAGCCGCTTGGCCAAGTTGAAACGCAGCACCAGGATCAAACAACCTACTCGGAACGGAATAGATTATGGTTTTGTCAACCCTTTAAAAGGATTGTCGACATCATTCCGATTTAGGGGCCCACGACTGCAAGACTGCTTGTCCACTGAGCGAAGGGTTGTAAGTTGTACGGGCAATTTCCGATGTTTGCAGGGAGCAAAGGAGGCAATCTTGTTTTTTTTGCGCAAGGGACATTGCTACTCTGCGGAGACTTTGTGGGCGCTGAGCAGTTGCTAGCGAGCCGGTGCCAGACAAAATTTGCTTTTGCCCAGTGTGATATGACCATATTTGACCCCCACTAGTGACCCATAGGCACTTGTCCATCTCGGCCCTTGCAGGTGACACCTGGCCCCGTGGTTCCGCTGGGCTCTTCTGGGCGCGCTGAACGGGCTGCGAGTTGCGCTAAGCTTCAAGTCGCTTGGTTAAACGTGTCTTCTTGAAGGTTCTCGCCCACCTTCAGCCGCCGCAGCATGTGGGTTGCGAGTGCTGCTGTTAGTCAGATTTGCCGACGGTTCGCAAACGTGTCAACATTAGGAGCCATTGTTATTCTGCCGAATCATGACACATGTCTTCACCATGCACGCACAACATTCTGGTGGGCTGAGCAGACCTTGAGCACCTGTTGCTTCTGCCAATCAGCGCCCGTGGCGCGATTACCCCTCCAAGCCTGAACATGTGGGCCAGGCTCTTCTGGCAATGGTGAGCAGCGGAGAGAGTGCCCAAGCTGCACTTGCAAAGGCGTCTTGCATCGGAGGGTCCAAGTCTTGCACATTTCAAGTGGAAGGCTGGAACAATTGAGCAGGGATTGCTCGCGTGTTCGTGGACATGGTCTGAAAAACCAAGACTTGGTTCGGTAGCGCTTTCTTGCGTTTTGTTGCGGGTGGGCGCCTGGGCCTCTCCACTGGCAAAGTGACTTCTATTGTATCTCAGGCGCAAGCGCTAGCTTTAGGGCTTTCAAAGCACATCCCAGGCCCTCAACGCTACTGGCATGGCGTTTTTGCCCACTTACTGTAGGTATGAAACGGGCAGCGGAGATTCTGGCACGTTCTAAGGCATGGGCGCCGCAAGCTGGCAGGATGTGTGCATGCGACTCCGCCCGGCTCTTGTGCGCGCCAGATGTTCCGATTCTGAGCGTGTCATGGCGCAGGGTGGCTTTCGCTTTGAAGCCTGAGCCTTGCCTTGCTGGCCATGTTTTTGGCAAACTGTGTGGAAAGCGAGCGTTGGGTGAAGGAGCCAGAACCAGGAAAAGCAACATGACGACAGACAATGTCGCAACCCGTCTTGGGATGGAAAAAAAGCGAAACATCCGTAGCCGTTGTTGGGATGGAAAGCACGAAGAAACGCAAGGAGACTCAGCACAAATACGACCAAATGTAAACGTTTAGTTTGGCTTCTCGAGTTATACAATTGAAGTCAAGTGCTGCTCTTTGGGTTCAGAGAAATCTTAGACCTTGAGCTCCTTGGCTTGCTGACAATCCAAAAGCACCTGCCGCCTGAATCAAATTTGAACATTTCCCGCTGAAAGTTTCCTCCGAACACACAGGATATTGACTCTTTCTTAGACAACTAGTGTATCAGAGGCTGTGGTTGGCATCCTCGAGAGTTTTTCCGCTGCGCACACCACGGTCTTTCATGGCTGCCACACAGGAAACAGGTTGGGGGTTCCCCTTGCTTCCTGATTGAGAATTGAAGTGGTTTGCCAGGATGCGTCAAGTCTGGCAGCTTAACGTTCGCCCTTTGCTTTAATTAGGGTCCTGTTCCCCAGTGGTTGCTCGCAGAGCCCGTGGTCAGTTTTAGCTTCAACACCAGTTATGTCAAGCGGTCGCCGTGGGCACTCTTCTAGCGAGTTTTGCCCTGGTCCCTGACACACCCGCGAGGATACTTGTCTTTATATAGGCTGAAGGGAGCAAGGTGGGCACTGGGGCAGGTTGTATGTAACACTTGTTGCTTTAGGATTGATGTTGACTGGTGTCTCAGGTGGCGCTGGGCCTGAAGAGGGCGCCAGCAAGCACAGGTGAGGTGAACGCGGGTTTTGCTCGCAAGCCCTTGCATTGTCCGTGCGCTGAGTTTGGGATGAGCTCCACCTCGCATACGCTCGCTGCTTGTGGGAAGATCAGCTTTGGCGTTTGCTTTCTGCTTGGTAACAACATCATAAATCTTTAAGTTCATCGAGTTGCTTGCTTTCTTGGTGAACGCATGTTTTCCCAACTGGAAGATCACATGCAAAAAGTACAGTTAAAACTTTGCAGGAAGCACATCTTTGGAAATGCCAGCAAAGACTCTGGTTGGCATTTCGGCTTCCTGTGCCAGGCAAGATCCGAATTTGCCAGATGTCAAGGCTGAAGCGCAAGCAGCGCCAGAGGACGGAGCGCCACTGCGAAGCAAAACTCGCAGTTCGTTCAGCAAGTTCCCTTTTGTGGTCCATTGCCAATGAACAACATTTTATTCCCCCAAAGCCCTTGGCCAATCAAGGGGCTAAAAGCCTTGCCGGAAGATCAATCAGCCGATTCCAATCATGAGTCGCCGCTTTTGGCCTTCATTTAAAGCTTCAGTTCTGTTGTGGTGGCTTCAAATCAACTCAGAACACCCATGCGACCAGCAAGTTGTTCCAAATTGGGAAAGCTGCGAACATGCAGAGTTACTGAGAAATTGCTCGACTGGATTTCGTGCCTTGAGCCGCGACCTCTACGGTGTTTTGTTTGCAATGACAGCAGATGCGCTTACAGTGCAAAGCGACAATTAGTGAGCCAATGTGTATTGCTTGATCTTTTGACAAGAACCCTTGGAAGGCTTTGCAGCTTGATTTGGCTACAAGCCTGTTGTGGGCTCCCTGAGCCTCAGGCAGGCAAACAGAGGCGTGTTCGATGTTTGGTTTTTTCCAATCAAGAGTTGTGCCGCTGTTTGGGGTATTGGCGGCCGCCGGCGCAAGGGCATAAGCCCGCTTGAGCTGGGCAGGCGCCGCAGCTTCTTGGCTACCTGTGCAAGCTTCGGGCGCTCGCTGCAAAGGCAACTTTGCTGTTTCATGCATTCCTGCCTTTGGGGTTTGCTGATGTGGCGCGTCTTTTTTGCCAGTAGCTCGTTTTAAGCTGAAACAATGGATGGTCCTTGATGGAAAGGCGCCATCTCAACTAGGTGTGGGGCGTGCATTCTGCGCTTGTGTTGCATTTTAAGTTCTTTCTGAGAGATAAATCAATCGTTTTGACGCCTCTAGTATAGCAGACTATCAGACGCCAGGCTCGTGATTTGTCCCTGGAGTTCGAAAAGCCGGGAGCTCAAAGCATTTGCAGAGAGTCATCTATTTGCAGACACAGGGAGTTGGACAAGCCTGAGGCTGGTGCCAATGGGCGAAGTCGCTTAAATTGTATATTTGAATAGTCTAGGAACAAGTCTGAGAAGACCATTTTGCGTATTATGCAATAAACGATTTATTGTAGAATAGAACATATTGCTATAGTGACCCGAGACAGGATTTTTATTCTGATAGGTGGCCATAAATGAAATTACGAAGATGATGCAAAATAGAATCCGAAATAATTATGAAAATAAATTATTGATTGAAATTGAATAAGTTTACGAAGAAGACATTTTACACCGAATTAGTAAAAACGATATTATGAAAGGACATTGATATTATAATTGATTTTTAAACATATTTTTGCTAATAGTTTATAGTTAATTTAAATATTTGGGTTAAATGTTATTTATTAAAATGTTTTTAATTTTATAATAATATGAATAAATTTTGTTTGATAATATGTTTTGTTTAAAATTTAATAGAATATATAGTGTAAAAGAATGAGGTAGAAATAATGATTTAAAAAGTAAGACGAAGAAAAAACGGAAAATTGATTTGGATTGTATTTGGAAGATATAATTAGTTTTATATATTTTATTGATTGTTTGTTTAAATTTGTTTGGATTGTTTTGGCTTGGAAGATATGGTGGTTATATTTATTTATAGTTGTTTTTTGAATTATTATGATTATATTTTAGGAATAGATGATTGGTTTAGGATGTGTTTTGTTTTGGCTTAGGATTTGTTGTTTATTAATGTTGTATTTTGAGATATTATTTTGATTGGGGATTTATATTTTTAATAATAAATTATTATTTTTTTAATTAAATTTTATGGATATTATGGTTTTTATTATATAGGATATAAATATAAAAAGGTTATTTGTATATATGTATATATGTTTAAGAATGTTGTTTTGTTTTAATTTTGTTGGTTGGTATATGATTTTTATTGGAATTTATGATGTGTTTTGTATTTATTGTTTTTTGGATAAGATTTATGGGTATTTTAATGATTAGGTATTTTGGAAGTGGTGGTATAAGGATTATTTGTAATATTGTATTAATATATTGAATATATATTTATATTGATAATAATGATCGAGATTGGATATTGAGGAGATTTTTTTTAAATGGTGGATGAAAAATAATTGTATTTATAATTTAATAGTATTTAAATATAAAAATCATATTCTTCCTACTCCGTAAACGAGAATAACAAATAAATTTATATAAATTATTATATTTTATTAAATATATTTTTAAAATTAATTTATATATTAAATTTTTTTCGTTGATTTATTTATTTGATTTTTTTATTGTTTTTTATAATAAATAATTTTTTTTTTTTCTTTTTATAATGTTTTTTTTTTTTATTTATGAATTAATTTGGAATGAAAGGGAATGGTAAAAAGGAAGAAAAAGAAAAATAGATATGGAGGTATTATAATGATTCCATTTGTGTTTTTTGTTTTTTATTATTTTATTTTTTTTTGCTCGTTTTATTAAATTCTAAGGTAATATACGATTCTTTTTTTTGAAGATTTGGTTTGTATTGTATATTATATTGTAGATTTTGAGTGTAAAGTTTAAATATAATGAGGAGTAGGAGTTGTGATAGTTAGCGATGAGCGTTATTGAGGATGTTTTTGGTGTGGAGGGGTAGTTTAATGAATTATTGGAAAGGTATGCGAGGAAATCTTTGAACCTTAAATTTGTTTATCTATATTTATTTTAAACCCTAAAGGAAATTATGACTAGTGAACTGAGCGCTCCAAAACGTTGATCTTATTAGTCAATAAACCCTAATTTTTTTTCCGACCCTCATTTATTAATATAACCATTATTTTGGAGCCTCCATTTGGCGAGCGGTTTTTCGTAGCCCTATCGCGGTTTCGGGCCGCCGACCTTCAAAAACTCGTGGTTTTTTGCGATTTTGAAAACCATATAGCCCTCTATAGACTTTGGATTAATCAACAATCGAAAACTCGTGGTTATTTACGATTTTCAAATCGCCCGCACGACTTTTTGCGATTTTCAAATCGCCCACACGACCCTTTATAGACTTTAGACTAGTCGACTTTCGAAAACTCGTATTTTTTTACGATTTTAAAACCGCCCATACGACCCTCTACGAACTTTGGCTAATATGATTTTTTCAAAGTAAAGATTATCTAAAGCTTCGATCTCAATGCCATCTATCTAGATCCATTACCAAAGGCCAGCCTCAATAAGTTGCTAGTGCATCTTAAAACACCGAATCTGGGGGGGCGCAGCGGAAGCCATAGCAAGAGACTAGCAAAAAGGGACGAATAGCAGCCGCGTAAGGAACAAACGGCATGCGATCCATCGCGAAGTTCCTTGCCAGAGGAAAAGCGAAAACAAAAAGTTAGACCGATATCAAGCTCTTAACAATATTCTCGTTTCAAGAAAACGAGTGCCATGCTGCAAAGAATACCGTCTCGACTACGCGAAGTCGCGTAGAAAGACTGAGCGATATGAAAATTGAAGAAAATCCGTGTGCGAATTATGTCGTCGGCCGGAGCTATGTGTCTCGACTTAGAGGAAAAGTTTCAAAAGTAGATTTTTATAATATGAATTAAGGGAAAGTTAGTCATGCAATGGCTAAGCGAAAAACGATTTCAGAAGTAATCCCGTAAGCGGCTGGAAGCAGAAATCCATGGCAGACCCACGGAAAAATTCCCAGCAGCCCGACGGACGCAAGACCACTAAGCCACCAATCCCGCCCTAGCCGGAAAAGCGCGCAAATTTAGCACGCAAATTTTGCGATTTTAGCCCCGATCTTGGATTTGAGTGGCAAGGCAGATTTAATAGCCTGCGGGAAGCGCGCAAGGCCGAAAACGAAATCCCGGGAAGAGCACATACATTATCGACCAACTCTGTTTAGGGTTTAAGGTTAGTCTTTAAGATTTAGGCTTCACAAGATTTGAGATATGGAAATCTTCATAGCGACGTCAATCAAAAATTTCGATCTCAATCAAGGGCCAGCTTCCACACCAGCGCAAATCAACAAATCGAACGCAGCGAAAGCAAAGCGGCGAGAGGGCGCGCGTGCAGAGCGACCAACGAAGTAGGTGACAGATTGCAAAAATCGGCGAGCAGCGACTAAGACGAATTGACAAACGGCAGGCGATAGGCTGCAAGGGCAGAGAATAGTTGCGGTCAAGAAACTACGTCCGCTGAGAAGCGATTCATGAAGCAGCCTCAACGGCGTGGCGATGATTTCGACTTCGCGTTTAGCTGAGTTGCAGCACGTCCCACCAGCTTGGAAGTTCTGCGCCATGCAAAGCCAAGAGCGTTTCGATCGCGAAAATGCTCAGAGAGCCGACGGCCGGAAGTGGAAAACCACGGCGCGGCCACGAAAAGCATTGCCCGGCAGCCCGGATCGAGGCCAGGAACCGAGCCGGGGCCGCTCGCAAGGACCGAGAGGAAGTGGAAGTGCTCCGAGGCTCCCTTCATGGGGTGTACGGGTACTGAGGGTGCCCAGCTGCATCTGCAACTCCACAAGGCTGTCCTCCTGCCTGGCTGCGCCGATGGGGGCCACGTCCTGCGGCCAACACGTGGGTCTTCGAGCCCGCGTCGTTGTCCTAGAAGATCACGAACGCGCCCATCAATCCGAACTTGGATTCGAGCAGCAAAACAGATTTAGAAACTTGGAGAATTGAAAAGAAAGCTTTCAGAGCGCGCGCTGATGCAGCGCAAAGCGCGCGCCAGGGAGGAACCGAGCCCGGGACCACCCGCTTCAGAGACGGACGCAGGACCACCGATGCTCAGAGAGCCGACTACTGGAAGTGGAAAACCACGGCACGGCCACGAAAAACATTGCCCGGCATTCTAGCCTCGTGGCATTGTAGGCAACCTTCCAAAGCATTGGCCCCAGCAATCGTCCATGGAATGGTCAGCTGACTACGGCTAGATTGTGTGTTCATGTGTGTCCTTCCGAAAAAGATCCAGAAAAGTGCCCATGTCGTGATGGTCATTGGATTGAACAGTTTGTAACATGGCGGGGCATAGCAGCGCAAAATACGCCCACGGCAAGTGCGAGAGGCTGGAGGCATTGCGAGAGACCCTGGGCCAGTGCTTGTGCGCTGCGGCGGCTGCCAACCTCGGGGGAGGCCGAAGCCAGAGAGCCTTGCGGGACGGCCCTGTGTCTATGTCCCCCTTATCATGAAAAAAGGCTATGCCACCCAAGCAAGAATCTAGAAAGTTTTCTGGGAGCTGTTCAAGAAGCACAAGGTTTGTTGACGAATCTTTCAAGAGCGTCGTTGGTCTTCAAGCCTTAGCCGCTTGGCCAAGTTGAAACGCAGCACCAGGATCAAACAACCTACTCGGAACGGAATAGATTATGGTTTTGTCAACCCTTTAAAAGGATTGTCGACATCATTCCGATTTAGGGGCCCACGACTGCAAGACTGCTTGTCCACTGAGCGAAGGGTTGTAAGTTGTACGGGCAATTTCCGATGTTTGCAGGGAGCAAAGGAGGCAATCTTGTTTTTTTTGCGCAAGGGACATTGCTACTCTGCGGAGACTTTGTGGGCGCTGAGCAGTTGCTAGCGAGCCGGTGCCAGACAAAATTTGCTTTTGCCCAGTGTGATATGACCATATTTGACCCCCACTAGTGACCCATAGGCACTTGTCCATCTCGGCCCTTGCAGGTGACACCTGGCCCCGTGGTTCCGCTGGGCTCTTCTGGGCGCGCTGAACGGGCTGCGAGTTGCGCTAAGCTTCAAGTCGCTTGGTTAAACGTGTCTTCTTGAAGGTTCTCGCCCACCTTCAGCCGCCGCAGCATGTGGGTTGCGAGTGCTGCTGTTAGTCAGATTTGCCGACGGTTCGCAAACGTGTCAACATTAGGAGGCATTGTTATTCTGCCGAATCATGACACATGTCTTCACCATGCACGCACAACATTCTGGTGGGCTGAGCAGACCTTGAGCACCTGTTACTTCTGCCAATCAGCGCCCGTGGCGCGATTACCCCTCCGAGCCTGAACATGTGGGCCAGGCTCTTCTGGCAATGGTGAGCAGCGGAGAGAGTGCCCAAGCT